ATATATATCAGGTACTCTGTGGGCATCTCGAATGGGAGCTTCTGGAAAGCGGCAGGATCATATCGAGGAGAGGTTGCACCGAGCAGCAAGTGCTTCTTCGAGCGATGTGCCTTTTCGAGTTTTCGGAGAAATTCAAGTCTATTCTTTTGGGTTTCGATTGATTTCCGTGGAATGCCCCGATGTGTAATCCCCAATTCTGCTTGCTACCCAAGTATCCTGATAATGACCCTCCCCCTTGTTTTGAAACACCCTCTCTCAAAGATGTAACCCAAGTGACGATCTAAGGCACCATTGAAGTGCGGAATTTCCTTGGTGTCTGTGCTGGTGAAGGATTTACGGGTGGCACGCAAACGCGGCAGCAACCGAATGCTGACCTTCAAGAGGCGGCAAATCCTTCGCAGAGCAGCATCGGTATTGAATAAAGGGGCCCGAGCCAAATCGAAAGCTAGGCCTGCCAAAAAAAGCAAAAATGCCAAACCTGCGCCAACGATTTACGAGAAGTGGCCAGTTTTCCGTCCGTTTGACATTTTCAGTGCACTGGTTTCGGCTGGGATGGTGAGCGAGCTGTACCATGCCTGCAATTGTAAATACGGCCCCAAATTCGTTGCCAAACCATTAATATCATGGGCATCCTAAATGCTGCTAAAGAGAAAACACCAATACGTAAACCCTAAACTTACCCTCTGAGCCCTGGAAATTCTTAGCTCTGAAGTTAAGAGACCCACGATAGCAACTGAGGAAGGGGGACACTGACTGGGTCAAGTTTTGGTCCGACGTCCAAACCGAAAGCTGGGGGAGGCGCATGTTCGCGAAAATACAAATCATATTATACCGGAAGCCCGATAGACTCCACATATTTGTGTATCCTGCAGGACCCATCCCGTGCAGAGCTGGGACGAGGCCAGCAAAGCGACTGCTTATGGCATAACCATCCACGGAGACGAGGGACAGGCCAAGAGAAAGAAGAATGTGCTGGTGTTGTCGTGGTCACCAATAGCAGTCACCAAAGAAACTATGTATAGCAAATTCCCTTTTCTGGCAACCTGGTCGCAAACAATGTCCTGCATCGATTAGTTAGTCATTCGTATACGGGTTTGGTCTAAGGGCTGTACGAGTGTTAAAAAACGTGTAGACCCCACAGGTTATGCAGTCAGAGTACTTTGCATACGACAAGGACGGTGTCAATATTACTTTGCAGCAGTTCCAAGCTGACTTGGTTCGCTCTTTGCAAAAATGCGCAGATGCAAGCAACGGTTTGGGACACACCCTGCACGTGGTGGCGGGGAAAGGAGATTGGGCATGGCGTGCCCAGTGGTTGCAGCAGATACGCTTTTACAACAATAAGCTGATCGAGGGGCCCGCAGCTGGCTTATGCGCACGCTGCTTGTGTACACGCGACACGTGGCTGGATGTGCACGAACGTTTTAATGCACCGGCCGATTTGGCGACAGCTCGACTGACAGCTGTGGGCGATATCGCGCTGAAGTCGTTGCCCGGATGGGACCCGGACATGGAAGTGCCGGATTTGCTTCACGTCTTATGGACCGGCACAGGCCGGGACTTGATAGGCAGCCTGTGCCTTCAGATCGTCGAGACGAGCCAAAGCTACACTGGTAGCACTTACGACGAGAGATTGCGACATCTCAGACGGGACATGCAGGCATGGTGTGTGGCGAACGGTATCCGCCCATCGACAGTGGAGGAGATAAGTACTTTGGGCCTAATTATACACTGTTTTTATACACACTGTTTCGGGTTTCAATAGAAGTGTCAATAGATACCCTCGGCTAGGTCTTTCGCGACTTTCTGTGGAGACCCTCAGCCTGGATTTTCCATTGGGTAGCAGCAAGGGCTACACAAACAAGGTCTTGTTCCTCGGCGGCAAAGACAGCACAACGTGTTTGCAACAACAACAGTTATGTCCGCCATGTTCAAGCCGAAGCCAACCTAGGACAGCGTACTTTGCAGAGCGACTGCAAGCAACGAGGTTTCAATCCCAGACAAGTTTTGGTTTTGCGACTTTGAAAGAGCGCAGGTTTACTTTTGAAGAAAACGATTTCCAAATTCCGAGGACTATCCGGCGATGAAGCTGCAAAGCGTGTGCTCTTGGGCCCTTCACACGTTCGGTGACGTATGCGATGCAGCTGGCATCTTTCTCACTGACAATGAAGCAGAGTTGCTTGTACAGACCCATTCCCGCACTAGTCGAGGCTTGAACTTTGTTTGGGGTTGTACTACGTATCTGAAGAGCAAAAACTGAGCCCGACGAGTATTTGCACAAAAACAAGGATCCTTCCCTGTGTATCTATCAATCCATATCTATCTATCTGTATAAGTATCTCGCCCATTGACATCACTCCCAAACCATCCGATCCGAGGAGTGGTCGCCTTTATATTCAATGCTACATCAAACTGGCGGAGGAAGCTCTGCAGGCGTCTCGTGCATTGCAGCTTGGTTAACGTTCAGACCTACAAACCCTAAACCCTAAACCCTAAACACGTTCAGTTTTATAAGCCGTTTGTGTAAATAGCTGATTATCTCGTGGGTTTTTTTAGAGGCTACGTAAGTTGTTTTGCCTGCCCGGCCCTTCCTCGGAAGCTTAGGTTCAAAGTTCGGCCAAAACTACACTCCTTTCATTGTCAAGTAGTACTCCGCCTCGCAGCTGGCAGTCGGATCAACCCCAAGGTCTGTTCCTGTTTTACAGAGGAGGATTGGGTAGGGCATATCTGTAGAGTCGCCAAAGGCGCCGTTCACACGTCATCGCTTTCGAAACGAATATTACAAAGATGGCTGTTGCAGCTGAACGCAAAGTTGTGTGTGGGCTGAAAAGTGCGAAGCGTCCAACTGTTGAAATCGAAAGCTCTTATAGTTTGCCCTAAACTCTAAACCCCTAAACCCACAGCAAAAAGCCCGTACTCAACACCGAAAGCCTTCAAGCCGGAGATACCAGTCGAAAGCTCTTATATAATTTGCCCTAAACCTTTAAACCTCTAAACCCACAGCAAAAAGCCCGTACGTAACGCCGAAAGCCTTCAAACCGGAGATACCAGTACAAAGAAACCTAGACCCTAAACCCCATAAGTCCTAAACCCTAAACCCCGATCTTCGTGTTGCCACAAAGCGTTTGAGCTGCTGATGAAGGGGCTCTTTCTTTCAAGCCGCCAACCCTAAACTCGGTTTTGTAAGCTAGTCCCCAAATAGATTCCTTTCCAGGCCTCAAAGGCCCCGGGTTTTGAGTTTTTAGGGATGTGGTTCCCACAAAACCCCATAATTTGAAACTAGTAGTCCAAGGTGGCAGGAAGCCTACCTGACGTCCTGAAGCCCCAAACATGTAAAGCTTTCCGGGTCTCAAGGGTTTTGTTTCTTCTTGTAAGGACTAGTTTCTGAAACAACCCTATACCTTAAACCTTGCACCTTAAACCCCCAACAGTATCCAGAGCTGTTAAACTTCCGATTGCAAAGTGGTCTGTGAAACCACCCTACCCATTCAACCCAAAATTGCAACACCCTAACCTTAAAACCTTCTGGCTCAAGTCTGCTTATCTGATTCTCCTGATGCTTGCTACCGGGGTTTCGGTAGATATTCATGCCAAACCCTACAAGGAACAGGTTTGGGTAGTTAACTACCCATTTTGGCCGCTTTATACGACGTGGGGTGGGGGAGAAAGAAGGAAAACCTCTGCGCTTGTCTGATTCTCCTGATGCTTGCCAGCGGGGTTTCGGTGGATTTTTAAGATGCCAAACCCTAGAAGGAACAGGTTCGGGTGGTTTGGCCGCCTTTTGCGACGTGCAGTGGGAGAGATCGAAGGAAAACCTTCCACACAGCAGGCACTAACAGCTCATCGCCATAGTACGATGTACTCAACACGAGGGATTTTCGCTTCATTTCAAAGCCATTTGTTGTCCAAAACTGCCGCCTGAGCTCCTGGAAGGCTCCCGGAAAGGCACCGAACAGGGCCCCAGATCCGAAAGGACAAAAATCAGTCACGCGCCCTCCAAAAGTACAAATTTCAAAAAGCCAAAAGCGCAAAATTCAACAAAGGACAGGTCTGCAGGAATTTAAATTCAAAAAACGTATATATCCTGGATCCACCCGCGCGCGCGGGCGCGCGCGCGCATTTACGTACATGGTATACAGATCAATATTATTAATATTATCTGTGTTAATTAAAGTAAATAAAAATTTAATTCGAAATATGGATCCGGGCCCGCGCGCGCGCGCGC